CTCTAAATCCTGTCAGTAACACAAATATGTTCCCATGTTTTCAATATTTCACAGTCACATTGTTATATAGGCTGAAAAACGACAAATGCCCATCACGTTAAAGCAGCCTTTGTCAACCAGGATTCCATGGAACAATGATCAGAGATTGCTAAGAATTCCATGAGCAATTTTCAATTTTTGTATCTGAGATTCGCACTGATCATCAATTTAAGAAGGCCCTCCTTCAATGACCACCAATGTGAAGGAGCATTCTACTGACCACCAATGTAAGGGGCCACATCACTGACCATCAATGTAAGAGGGAACCTCACTGACCACCAGTGTAAGGGGGCAGTTCACTCACCACCATTGTAAGGGGGCACTTTACTGATGACCAATGTGAGGGGGGACTTTACTGACCACCAATATGAGGGGGCATTTCACTGACCACCAATGTAAGGGGTACTTCACTGACCACCAATGTGAGGGGGCATTTCACTGACCTCCAATGTGAGGGGCACTTCACTGACCACCAATGCAAGGAGCCACTTCACTGACCCCCAATAAAAGGGGGCACTTCACTGACCACCAGTTTAAGGGGGTACTTCATTGACCCCCATTGTAAGGTGATACTTCACTGACAGCCAATGTAAGGGGACACTTTCCTCACTGACCATAAATGTAAGCAAGCATTTCTCAACTGACCATCAGCATGGGAGAACACTATAAATTCTACTGTGTGTTTCTTTTCTGGCCAATATTATTTTTGTTTAGTTTAATTTATTTTTATTACTAATTATTGTGAATTATTTTGTCATGCAGAGCAGCTCTAGATAGGCTAAGTATGTTATATTCTATCCATAATGTAAAATAAAGCTTTTTCTGGAGCTGGACTTTAATAAAAACCCTTTTTAATGTGGCTCATCTGCAGGCACCTGTTTTCCAGCTCAGTTTACCTTCAGAGCACCCAGAGATTGGCAAAACCTCAGCACTCTTAAGATGCCCTGCAGGTACCCGAGCACTTGTCAAAGCATATCTAAAGCCAAGAACAAAAATGTAATATATTGAAGCTTACCAGTCCTTAGATGCTGTGGCTGCATCTGTTTTCACATTCTTTCAGGTTTTCTTTCCCTTTTCTTCACCTGGTGATCCTTCCAGTACCACACTTATTGTCCTAGGGTAACTCATTCACTGCACTGCACCTATGGAGGAGCAGCCTTCTCATCATAGGCTGCTTGCTTCTGATTTGACTGCAAAACACCCTCCACGTCTCCATAACATCGGGGAGATGTTCTCTAATCCACAGAACAGGGGGAACGATGCTAACAAATAACAGTGCAGCAGGCACAGAGAGCATAGGAAGTTAGAAGGGTCTATGGTTGGATCAATTTAATAATCTCCGGACTCACTAGTGTACTATTGTATCCAACACAATATTCACTCTTTGATTTCGCAGACACCATTATACTAATGTCCTCCCGTGACCCAAAACTCAGGATATAGCGAGTTATCTACTAGAGGCAGAGTCAGCTATGCTCACCCCCTCCCCCATCCATCCCTCTAGTCAGCACTGGAGGATTGGAGAGGGGAGTTAGGGAATCCCTACGGGGAGCGATGACTGACAGCCACCACTCTCTGCAGGGAGATGATCGGGAAGTGAGTGGATCAGCGGTACGTTTTCTCTCACTTCCCGATCAATAGAGCCAACATGTGACAGTTTCAATGTAGCACGTCAGCTCTATCTATGAGGATGAGTGTATTTCAGTTTCCCCATAGTTCTCGTTTAAATAATCAACAGACAGAACTAATGTTAACAGAATCTATAAGCTCCAAAAGTATAATATGTAATGATAATGTAAAATGCAGTTGTCCGCAACAACCAATCAGATCCTTTTATACTTTACCATTGCAATGCACAAAATGAAAGGTAAAGGCTAAGCACTATTTTTTTCTTAATATGGGTTTCATAATTCAGCTCTTCTTAGGTTATCATGAGTATGGACCATATCATACAGGCATTTGCATAACCCCCAACTGTCCCTCATTTGGAACCGAATTCCTCTTTCCCCCTCAATCATCCCTCCTTTTGGTCTAATGTACAGATATCTATGAAAAGTAATTTTTGCACTAAATCCTATATCATATCGCTCAGTTATCTTGTTTACTATTTGGAAAACCCATTAAAATAGTAAAAGTAATGGTGAAAAACTATTCTGGGTTTAACCAATCATTTTTGCCATAAAAATTCACAATGGTCCACCTAACTGGGACAAGGTTGTGTCCATTGTCGAAATACATTGTGCTAGAAAGTGTCCCCACTTCTCAGAAAGTTGTGATGTATGCACTGGCCAATAAACACTATTCTGTAGAGCAATTTGAAAAGCATTTCATGCTTTTTGGAACCCCTTATAGCATCAAGAAAACTACTAATATGCTTTGTATATGTCTGATGTACACATTGCTCTTCAGACTAGAGTTTACAAACTAATGTGTGTGATCTGGGCCGAACAGTCACATTTTTATCAGAATTTGATCCCATGTGGCCAGCATAAGGAAATTACACCAATATGAACAAGTCCAAAGATCACTATAGCTCATATATGAGGCAAGAACGCCTTTATTGTCTATAGCACATTTCTCTTTTCATGTACTGGAAACATAAAAGGGAGGATTTGGTTTGTGAGCAATACAGGTGGGACCATACAGGAGGTGTACTGTAATATTCTTATAAACCTCAATAAATACTATGCCTCAAATCTACTGATTGACCTATTGTGCCCCACACACACCTCAGCCTTTCCATTAGGTATCGTCATTATTTTCATTATGCTATAGACTCAGTCTCCTGTTCTCATGTACTGTACCTAATAGCTATTGCTGCTATCTTCGGTTGTATTCCACTATTAAAATGAAAATCACTACGTACCCTGAACGTTCTTTGTCTCTTGTGTGCGCATTGCTATTTCTGGCTGAGACTCCCCGTCAAGGGCAATTTCACCTCTATGATAAAATTGTTTGGAAAAAAAATCCCCCAGACCCCACCTTACATATTTCATTTCCAAGCTGCCAGTCACCGGTCTCTGTATGCACTTATGTAGCCCCCCACTCTCCATCTAAGCAGGGCTGATGCTGTGCTTCTTCCACTGTGTTACATCTAACAATACATCTATTTTAAGCCACTTCATGGACATCACAGAATTTTGCAGAAAATGTCTCTAGAGACCACACTGTGCAATTTCCCAGGAAAGACAAACTGTTAACCCTTTACCACCCATCTCGTATTTTTACTCTAGTTTACATGGTTCCCTCGGGAATGTAAACTCATAAGAAATATTACAGAATCCATAAACATTAGACTGCCAGGACTAGTCCATCTTGCCTCCATATTAGCTAAGAAATGTACCTCAAATAATGTCCATGTAACGGTTCTTTGGCATCAGTCAGCCACTTAAATACAAACACATGGCCTTATTGACATTTATCTGTTAGTCGGGCTCTCACTATAGTCACATTTTTGATCAGGATTTGATCCCATGTGGTCAGCATGTAGCACTGTGAACAGTGTTTGAACCTTTTCTTTAAAATTAACACATTGTCATTTCTCTTGTATAAATCATAATTTTACAGACGGTTTTCCTCGCATTGCTTACTATTGCATGTGACAGCAACAAGTATTAAAATAGCCAGTTGCCATGGGATCAGGATGCTTGTGTGAACCTGTTCTTGAACCCTGGTCAAAAGCAGAACACGTTTTAAAAAAAAAGTAATAAATCATAAGGTGAAGCAGGGATAGAGCACTTATGTATACTTCCACATGTGGTAAATACTTTGAGAAAGGCTGACACTAAGTGCAACTAATTTCTGCACAGGAAACATACTGTTGTTTTACTACATATCAAAAAAGTTATGTTTGAAGTGGTCGATTTATGATATTAGTTGCTTTTAGTGAGTTTCCTGTTTTACGCTGTCAAACCATCACTCACTGCACCACAAGAACTATTAGACTTATTAAAAAAGGGCAAAGCAAACCAAATCTCATCAAGAAAGTAGGGTGCTGGGCACAGTGACTGCAAGCAGAAGAGCTATTGATTTAGAGGTACTTGGTCTTTTTAAAGAACTCTAGGCATAAATATTCCTAATCTTTGGAGGGGACTGCCCCCGCACTGCAAGGGTCAAGTGCTTGTTTTTGTCTAGGGACAAAAATAAAAAAAAGTTATACTCACCTGAAACATGGAGCCAGCTGGCTTCTAATCCACTCCCTGCCACCTTTCTCCTCCTCATGTCCTACACACTGTATTGGATTTGATGACTCACAGGACCTTAGAGCACTGGAGCAAGGGTGAGTGAGGCTGAAAGGATCGGTCTAGAAGCCAGCTATAGCAGGAGAGTATAACTTTTTTATTTTCATCCCTAGAGGAAAATGAGAACCTAACCCTTGCAGTGTGGGGTATATATTTATGCCCAGGGTTCTTCTCTAATGCTCTTTTTTAAAGACCTGGATGATGTAATTTCCCTCTTTGACTGACACCTATGCACACTGTCCATTAATTGACGGTCAGTAACTGATTAGTGTGGCTCCATTCATGTACCATGGGAGGATGGAGATTTGTTTACAAACAAACCTCTCCAACCTGTATATGGCATTGTGCCATTCGATGTGCAGTTGCACAAAGAAAAAAATAAATTATTAAAAAAGGAATAAGTTCCTAATAAAAAGAAGTATTTAATTGTTCAGTTTATAACAAAAAAACAACAAACATAGTATTTATTAAAACAGGGTACTGAATAAAAGTATTATATGTTCTTGAAAAAATAATGAAACATTATTTAGCTAGGCAAATTAGCCATAGTGTTATTGTAAAGGTAATCAATGCAAACTGACTATGCTAAATTTGGTCTGGGCATCTAAGCTTTAATGACCCCTGTCATGAAACAGGTAAGAAAAACTGTAATGAATTTTACCATTACTATAACTGTATTACAAAATCAATGACATTGACATTGTGAAATTATGTCCACAGGCAAACAGGGCTTCTGGTCATTGCTCCACCTGGCAATGAAGAATTTGAATCGATATGTAGAAATATGGAACGCAACAAAACATCTTGGGAAAGGTTCACCAAGGAACAGCTAATGGCTAAACATCCCGAATTTATCCTGAATCCCGGAGAGGTTGCTTGTTGTGACAATAATGCTGGAGTTCTGTACGCCGACAAGGCGCTGAGAGCTGTACAGGTATTGCCTCTTTCCCCAATAGTACAGAAATATCTATTAGTTACCTGAAAAGGCTCTGCGTGTATAGATAATTATACGCCTTTTTACAAACTCATAAACAAAGCTTTTCATGTTTCCATTTGGGTACAAGCTTGGAACTTCCTGATAATTAGATTAGATAATGATTAAAATGTATTTACTCCCAAGAAGAAAAAATCTAATTTTCTGTGCAGACATGTCTTCATTCTACAGAGAGCATGCATCCAAAGTGTGAAATTGCTTTGTTCGTAAACAGTTCTTTGTTTTACGGTGGAAAAAGCACCATAACTCTTTAGGGGCTGCAGAAGACAGCGTGTTTCCTCAGCCAGTAAAAAATATGGAGCAGTTTAGGCATGTTTACATTCTAATTGGTTTATACAGTATCTGAGCCCCATGTAAATAATAGGTGACGCTCACTGTAATTTCACAGAAGTATACACAACCAATTATGTCCTGTGTGACCCACACCAAGAAGTACCAGGCATTTCTTGGGGCTACTGATGCCACAAGAGTGGTGCTATACACCATTCACCACATATGAATGGTAAAAACGAAATAAAAAAATAAGTAATCTACACTGGTCCATGAAATATTACTACGGTTGTTTAGGACCCAAAAGTATATTGTACCAGATGGGGCTTCTAATTTGAAACTTTTGTTGGCAAGTCATGACTTTAAAAAATGGAAGATTACAGAGGCACCCTTATTGTAAATGACCTAACGAGAGGTTGTCCACATCAGATTACATACTTTTATTGGTATTCACAATTAAAAAAAACATCAACGCGTTACGTTGAAATGTATGGACATTTTTTAGGATAGGTGTCCAAAGTCTATATAAATATGGGGTTATTCACAAAACTGCCGAAGGCAGCCGAGTGAATATCCCAGCCGAAGTGAAGTGAGCCGAACGAAGTTCGGCTATTCATTCCGGCTCAGTACGGCTTATTCAGCTGTTCATCGGCTGAAATCAGCCGTACATCGGCTGCCTTTGGTCAGCCAAGCATGCTCTGCATGTTCGGTTGAGCCCAAGTGCAGAAGGACTTCGACTTAGCTGATCCAAGTATTGGATCGGCTGAGCCGAAGCTACGACAGCTCACTCACTGCCATTTGCCCCCTATTCCCTTAGAGGCCGAACGGCAGTGAGCGGCATTCGGCTTGGCTATTCTGCTCAGTACCTCCGTGGTACCAAGCAGAATAGAAAATAAGTGAGAAGAATGAAAAAAAAGTTGAAAAATTATTTTTTAAAATGTAAATAAAAAGGAAATGAAATAATAAATAAAGATATGTTAAAGAAGAGAAAAAAAATAATAAAAAAGAAAAACAATTGTCACAGGTCCCAGCCAATGAATAACAACTGGGCGGAGCTGGCCAAGTTGTTATTGTTTAATGACAGATCAGCGTCCACATGTAATTGGGGAACGCTGATATGTCATTACAACTGGGCGGAGCCAGCATGAGATCATGGCTGGCTCTGCCCAGCTTTGATTTGCAAGGCGAATGGCTGGCCTTTGGCAGGCCGTTCTCCGCGCTTAGGGGCCACTGTGGCTCAGTTGAGCCAAAGCATATGCCTTCGACTCGGCTGAGCTGCTCGTAGCCCGTAGAGCAGCCCTTCGGTTCGACTGAACAGAAGGGCTCCAGCGGCCGAAGAGAGCAAAAGGATCAGCCGAATCTACGGCTGGATCCCTCGGCTCTTTAGTGAATAACCCCCATAATTAGAAGAATATATGTATAGAAGCAATATAAAAAACATAAATAGTAAAACGACATATGTGAGTTAATCTTCATACACATTGGAGTTGAAAAATAGACTTTGGATGTGCTGTACTGTGAAATTTAAAATCTGTAGTCATTATTGTAAACATAAAAATATAGATAAAAATGCTTTCATAGCAAGAACATTTACATTAATATATAAATAAATGCCTTGGTGAACCATTCGATGTGAGTAAATTTGAATGAAACATTCTGGTGAGTGGAAATTTGCAAGCTATGAATCTATTTATATCCAGGGTGAAACAGAACTGTGTAAACAGCTCCCTCAACTTTTGTTGAGACATAAAAGAAGTATAGATTACAGTAAACCACAAGTGATTATCTGTATTGGGTGAATGCCAATGATGAAAATTTTATGAATGGAAATCAGCTGGTCATTGACATGAGGTGATCATGGATTTAAAGTGTATTTCCACTTTTGCAGTCAAATTTGAGAGAAAGCATTTTTATGTTTTTGTGTTCCCATTCACACAGCATACTGAAAAATAATTTTAAAATACTGTATATATTTCTTACTTTTCCTCCTGTTACTTTGGACAGACAGCAGGCAATTCTGAAAAGTTTTAAGTGAATCTGTCTCCAAGACTAAGGGGGACAGACTGTATTTCCTCTTATTAACATACAATGCTTCTAAATCTTTAACCCTTTGTGAGGAACGACTAGCTAACAACTGATATTGAGTTCTTTCAGTACAGTACACACAGTGTTAATTTTAGTAAACATTAAACTCCCACCCGGTTCAAGGCCCCTCCTTGAAATTACAGAGAATGTAAAAACGTAAGTTTTGAAGTTTCCTGATCAAGTAACAAATTATAAATATTTTTTTTTTAATTATGCTATTTGAATGGGAACGTGTAACAGATATAAATTAGGTGTTATCTCAATTTGGCTGCAAAAGTGGAAATACAATAGGGTGGGTTGAGTGACAATCTATGGAAGCAACAGACTCTCACCATCAAGCCTTCTTCAAATGCTAACATTGTAATGTTTCTCTGCTGATCTTTGCAGGAACAATTTAAGCGAATGGGTGGGGTGATCCAAGATGCCCAAAAGGTAAAGCATATTCAGCCTGGGCAAGTGGTAACAGTGACAACTACCTCTGATATCTATGAAGCAAAAAATATAGTCATCACAGCAGGACCATGGGCCCAGAAGGTCCTTTCTCCCCTTGGCCTTGAACTACCATTAAAGGTAAGGATTTACATGCTCAGGAAATCATCCAGTTAATTTTAAAAGATCACTATTACTTCCTGCTACATGTGATATGGCATTCCACAGTTTAACCACTCCTTAAGCAAAGAACCTTTTCCCATAATGATAAATAGTAGTCTTTCCTCTACAGATGCTACTTATTTTTCTAATCTTTATGCTGACCTTGGATATATTTATATTAATATGATAACCTCTATTTATTCTCCTTTCCAAAGTAAACAAATCTAATTGTTCTAATCTTCCATTTTAAATGAGAAGTATGGGGATAGCAAAACATTATCTCCCCAATACACTGAGCCAGTGTGAGCAGCTGTCTCACACCAGCTCTAAGACCCAGAGCTGACCAATCACATGTCCACTGATCAGTCAGCTCTTTCTCTTTTCTCCGGTTGGAAAATTGTGACTGTTAGTT